ATTTTGAAAAATGTTAAAATGAATTTTGAAAAATTGCCTCCTTCTAAGTTTCACAATTTAAATAAATCTTAAAACATGAGTTCATCGAATATCAAAAGAATCAACTGCTCTTTTAATCTTTGCTAGCTACAAATCTTTGACAAATATCAAGATCGAAAGGTTGTTTTGAGGTTAGCTACCTAAACTATAAGGTTTATTTCATCGATTCAGTCATCATGAAGATCATGGCATGCCCCTCTTTCTTGGTTTGGCATTTTGATCGGAGGCGGAAAAAATGACGCAACTAGTATAGTCAAGTGCTAGACTTTTTAGAACAATTTTGTTTCAGTTCTCTGAAATCTTCCATTTGTTTAAGCTTGGTTGACTCCTCTAGCCAAGGTAGCGTAGTAATATCGGTCTAAAAATGAGATTTTTGAGTGTTCTTGTGAAGTTGATTATAATAGGAGTTCCTTAACTCCCTTAGTCCATATTCACTGAAACTCCTTGTTTAGTAAATTCGATTAAATTTGCCATGGTCTGGCTAGCTGAATTTAACTTTATTGTACATATATTTCATAATTGCCTTTATCTGGCTAGCTGAAGGATTCATTTGGTCACAAAGTCTTCGACTTGACAATCACAGTGGAGCAAACACCGAATTGCCAAGTACCCGATCCATGTCATGGTTTGAATGTAATCTATTCATAAAGTCAGGGCTTTCGAGTTTCCTCTATAACCAATTGCTTTATCGGAATAGCTCAACTTTATTGTATACTTATATATATATTGGGTATACAGACTTCATTTTGTAAGCTCGCCAAGGAGAACCTGTTATAGTCCTGGTGTTTGTTGAAGGTCAGAAAATCTCATCGTTAGAGTTTAATTCCTAAGCAACTGACCTAAACTAGATTCATCTACTCAACCATTCCATATGTGAAGATCGTGGTCATCATTGAACGTCATTAACAGAAGTAGAAACCAATTAGTTTTGCGATTTCATGTGCCAGTTGCCTCATTTTGTCCGTTCTTAACACATACCTGAATGTCAAGCCTCTAATTGGTTGTATATGCGAGGATGAAGCTAGCTTGGTCCCTGCAAGAGAAGGGTATTTATTTTGGTGTAGGATTAGGATCAAAAGGTCCTTGTTTTGTTGGGTTTCAATATTGTCATTTGTCAAAGATTTACAACCTCAATTATTAAAAAGTTTTTAATTAAAATGATATTCAAACAATTTCAAGATTAAAATTTACTCATTGTTCATTTCCTAAGAAGGAAGCATTTTATTGAAAATATTTGAACGTAAAGTGACTTACACACATTCACACAAAGATAGAAAATCAAGTTCAAACAAGATGACATGCATTAGAATACAACAAAACACCTGATGGATGCCCCAGCCGACTCCCGATCAGAATGCCCCATCACACATTGAATGTAAATGCCCCGTAATCGATCAGATCTTGAACCTTGCACTTCAATGCCCCACAGTTATCAGTGGTGTGCCCTGAGTTCCCAATGTGATAGCTGCATATAGAATTTATATCATGGCCTTCAAGATATGGGGCTTCTCTTGGTTTAGATTGAACTGGAGTCACAAGGTTCCTCTCAACTAACATTGGGAGAAATTCCTCATACGTCACTAGGATTGGATTGATGCGAGTCCTTTCATGGAACACCTTATGAGGTTTGGTCCCCAGTTTAGCCAGATACGATCCAACTATGTTAATCTCAGCTCCTTCCTCAATGTCAATATTGATAGTACCTCCTATCTGGCCATTCTTGATCATTTCTCCACACATGACGATGTTAGAGAAACTCTTAGTTGCAACCCTATCATGTGGTTGATATATGGAGAGTTTAATGTATCGATGAATAGAGTGATGAATTCTCTTTCAGTCATTGGTGGATGTACTTGAGATGCAACATCCCTCTATCGTTGAGCATATTATCGGAAGCTCTCACCACTCTTCATCTCCATATTCTGCAGCGTTGTTCGATCAAGGGCCATATCGGTCATGTGTTTATATTGGCTCATAAAGGCACGAGTCAAATCCTTCCATGAGCGGACTTGAGTATGACTCAATTGATTATACAACTTAAAAGCGAGTCCAATCAAACTGTATTGGAAGCAATGGATCAACATCTGATCGTTATTGGTATACCAGTCATTCTTCAAACAAACATCATGAGATGGGCATTAGGACAACTGGTTTTATTATACTTCTCAAAGTTGGCCATCTTGAATTTGGGTGGAAGCACCAAGTTAGGAACTAAGACTAGTTCAGTTGCATCCATTTCATTGTGAGAGTTATGTCCTCTCATTCCTTTGAAGGTCTCTCTACACCACTGTTTTAAGTTCTCAGGGATCTCATTCTTGGCTCTTCTCTTCGCCTTAAGAACGGATATGTTATGATTAGTAGAATTACCCCTAGGATTTAACACAGTTGTACAAGTTTTAGTGGCGGAGGAGCCTACTTGGTGGCTAGGAAGCTTGTGGGGTGAACTGAGTATCGGTGGATTAGCATGTGCCATCACACATTCAGAAGTTTCCATAGTCTATGAAATCTTCTCTTTACCTCTTCCTTGGTTGAGCCTAGTCAGTTTAGCTATAAGTTGATCGACCAGGTCGTTTTGATTTTGCAATATACTATCCATGATGGCTTTTTGCACCTGCTCCATTTTAGCTTCCCACTCTGCTTGTATCTTTTGCAAACTCTTTTCCATTTCATTCTTCAGTTTCTCAAATTTTGCTTCCATTCTTAGTACTGTGTGAACGAAGTTGCATAGTTAGAAACACTTCGTCATAGTCCTCCACTAGATAAACTCATGATTCCTTGATTAATGCATGTAAAAAATGCCTTAATGAATGTCATACAGAATGCAAATATGCAGATGCAGATGCAAAAATTATGAAAATGTTTAAATAAATGTAGTACAGAATGTAAATACAAAAGGTATCGATTTCCAAAAGTAATCATTATTAGAAAGAGTTTCATTCATCCAAAATAGTTTTCATCTTTACAAGAGAGATCAATCTACGAATGCGTTTTATGATATGTAATCCCCAGGCAAACTATCTCCTTTTTGCCCTTTGTGTTCCTTCAAACCAAGCTCGGACCGCCGAATTGAATTCTTCCTTGTTATTAAAACTCTTTTCCATTTTAATGGTCACTGTTCTATTATGATGATTACTTGGTTAATCAACACATTTCTTTTATTTATGATGATCATGCAATGTCAAACAATAAACAATCAAATATAGTAAATGTGTCAGTATAAAAAATCAAATATCAAGCATATATTATATAACAATCAAACATAAAAAATGTGCCAATATAAAAAAAATCAAATATCAAGCAGATATTATTGAAAGATAATTGCAACACCTTCCCACATGTTTTTCTACTCTTATTAGGTTAAATCCTACCCAAAACATGATTTCTACCCCATGGTTTGGTCGAAAATAAAACCTAACACATGTTTTTCTAGTTCAAATGCTTTATTCGGAAAATAAAATAATGCAGGTAAAGAGAATAGGTTTAGTGTTATTTCTCCTTTGTGTACGCTTAATTCGGGTACCTACTGACGGACAGAGGTTTGGTATGACTTTTGTTGGGGTGTATTGCTATGGTTCACTATATGTAGTATTGGGTTATAAGAAAAAGGTACTCGAATTGTCCGTGTTGGTTCCTCCTTAGGTTTCCAAACCCTCAATCTTTGCCCATTATAGGCTTGTGCGGATTGAGTTCAATTCGAGGGGATATATTCTCCTATATCCATGCAGAGAAACAATTTATTTCACGTAGACATAAGGTATATAAACCCCAAAGGTTACTTGCTAAAACCCGTGCAGAGAAACAAATTATCTCACTTAGGCAAATGTACATGCTAAAACCCGTGTTGTTTAAATATTGGGAATTACAAAATCGAAAATATATTTAAATTACGATCTTTTTATTCATTTGACTTTATTCAAAAAATGACAATTTTCGGATAATTAATACCCTTTTGTGTGAAAAATCTTCGAAAAATCACTTCCTTTATAGTTAGGAGACTTTCCCATAGATTCCCCTCACAAAAAACATTATTTCACAATTGTCGCAAAGATAAAATAAAATAAAATAAAACAAAATAAAAGTGAAAATCGATGAAAAATACTCGAAATAAATAAACGTGGAACAAAGAAAATTATCGAATAAAAAAACATTTATGTGGAAAACCCTCAAAAATACATCTTCCCTTTAATTGGGAGAAGTCTTCGTAGATTTCCTTCACATTGAAAATTTCTCATTTTTTTGTATATTAGAAAACAATGACGATTCATAAAAAATGTTAATAATTATCTAAACGTGCACATAATAAAATAGAGAAAAAAATTCCATAGCAAGAATACTTATAACAATTATGTAATTTATGTATATACATACATGAAATTATAACGATAGATAAAACAAAGTTACAAATTTGGAGTAAAATGCACATTTACAAACATGACAGGCTAAAATACAAATAATAAAAAAATAGGCATGCTTAGTAAAATAAAGGACTAAATAATCAAAACAGAAACTTTAAGGTCATAATAATAAATAAACATAAAATCATAGCTAATTTGTAAACATTATATAATCTGAGTACCAAAGTAGAAATTAACCACAAAGCAACAGACATGACCAGAATATAAAAAGGTTAAATGTCATACCAAAAACAGAAACTTAGCAAAAACGTACAACAACATGAACAAGATGGTTAAAACAAAACAATAATAACTTATGCCGCTTAAAAGCGAATAGGTTAAAATACAATGGCCCACGTATGAATATAAACATAAACATATTTGAAAGCAAATAAGGACTAAATTACAACAAAAATAAAATAGGAGCTAAAAATGAAATGATGAAATTTCATTACAGTGACCAGATTACAAACATTACAAAAGATTGAGGGACCTAAAATGTGATTGTCCCCCAAAAAGTAAGAAACACTTAGGAAGATTACAAAGCTACAAGGATCTATGCAGCCATTATCCCTTAAACCCAGCATTCGTTCTCCCCCTATTCGTTCTCCCTTTGTTCCCTTTTTTTATCTTGTTAGATGTATCAGTGAGAGTCAAAGGGGTTCCATATCCTATTACACCTTCAAAAGCAGGAATTAAATTCTACAACAGGAAAATGGAAGTTAAATATGTTTAAAACACAACAAGTAAACAAATTCAAAAACATAAACAGAGATCAAAACCAAGTTTGTCATTAATCTTTATAAACCAATCCTAGACAACATACATACCTCAGCTGCTAATTCAAGAATACGAGCAAGGGGCGGATACGCAAGATAAACATCCTTGCTTCCAAGTCCGGGAACAATTGTCATGACTTCAGAAACCGTAGCTAAAACATTGCCATGTCTCATCATCACACCCTGTACAAATTTCATGTATTTTAAGTGGCTTAACAATATGAAAAAATAACTTAACCATTTTGTAATCTTCAAAGATAACATCATGCTTGCTAACCAGAAGCATATTTTTACCTACAAAATCTGTAAGAAAACAGAAGAACAAGAGCAAAAGTAGATGCTTCGAACCTTAGGCAATCCAGTACTTCCACTAGTATACATTATAACTGCAACATCAACTGAAACAGGTAAATCAGTATCAACTGGATTTGTACGACAACACTCTCAACATCAGCAAAAGAAGTTATTGTCCATCTGCCACTTGCACTGGTCGGAAATTCATCATCTATGCAGATCACACGTTTGACAGTGTCAAGTTGCCCACTAATGCTGTTTAGCTTTTTTAGCTCTTTGTTCCCACAAATCACTGTTGTAACTTCAGTCTGGAAGAGCAAAAATCATATAATTACATAAATATCAGTAATGAATGTGGTAACCATAAAACCTTCAATAAAATTAACCCTTCGAATCCCAACTTTTTCCACAAGGTAGCACATTATAAGATGCAGGAAATACTTTTACAATGTATGATGACCTTAACAATCTATTTAAACATGTAAAAAATGAGCAGAACACATTCAGCCAATAAGGCAAGAAAAAAGTTTATTATTTTGCAAAGTTATTTATCCAAAACAAAAACTATTTTGCACATAATAATATTTACTTTATACCCAAATAAAAATAGAATTTTTGTTGCACTGGAACTGGCAATAATGGGAAAACATTATGAGAATACCAATATGTGTATAGAGAGAGAAAGGGGGTACCTCATTTAACGAGTGACATAAAGCCTCCTCCCTAAAGATGCATATAAACACTGTAACATTGCACCTAAAGCAGGCCTGAAAAAAAGATATATATCAGTTATATTCTCTAACCTGTGGAAAGGCAAGAAAGGGCCTGGCACAAATTACACCTCAACATAAAATTATCAAGCTTTGAAAATTTAACCAAAATTCCATAGAATATAAGACCTGCAGTGCAATGAACCATTCTTCTCTCGTATCAGCAAAGATTGCAACACGCTCTTCCTTTTTATGACCAAGTTGATTTAATCCAGAAGCAAAACTGCACATAGCTTCAAATGTTTTTGCATATGTTAACCATTCGTATTCTCCCAAATGAAGCTTCTCAAAGGACCTTACATCTACAGTTACTTCAACCTCCCTTGAAACCAATTTCCTAGTTCCAAGAAAGGGTTTATCGGAGTGTTCCTTACATGCCTGTTCAAAAAGTTCTGCAAGAGTAGTTATGTCTTCCCATGATGTTTCAACAGGGGAAGGGAACCGACTGTTTCGGATTGTATACCCTGGTTCCCCACCAACATCGACTGGCACCCCTCGCTTCTTTACCTTCTTTGCATTTCGAAGGAGAAATGTAAAAACAATAGGAACAAGCGTGTTAAGATATGCAGAAAACATTGAAACTAAAGAAACTTTTATTCATTGCTTTACTTGATCAAATACATGACTTATGTACAACTCCATGATAACCAGCTTCTATTCTGGTGTAACCGACTAACCAACTAACTGCCTTAACAACCCTTCACTGCATGCACAACTACACTACTGATCATTCTTCATTCAACATTCTAGAATACTTCAATATTCCCCCTACTCTTTCTTTTCTCAACTTTAGCAATCGAAAACACTCCAAGCTTTTTTCTAAATCGAGCAAAATAATCCTTTGTTATGCCTTTGTAAACCCATCTGCTACTTGGTGCTCAGAAGGAACATAATTCACTTGAAGCTTTCCTGCAGCAACACGTTCTCGAACAAAATGTATGTCTAGTTCCAAGTGCTTGGTTTTAGAGTGATACGTCAGGTTAACACTCATTGCAATGGCACTAGTGTTATCATTCCAAACCACTGAAGTAGCTTGAATTTGAATCTTCATATCACTTAGTAATGCTTCAAGGCAAACAACATCAAAGGTATCATCAGCTAAACTTCTGTATTCAGCTTCTGAGGTGGACCTATACACTATCTTTTGCTTCTTTGAGTTCCATTGAACCATACTACCACCAAGAAATACACAAGTTCCAGATATAGACCTTTTGTCATCATCAATGCTACCTCCCCAGTCAGCATCACAAATGTCATAAGCTGTAGTGGTTCTATCCTTGGAAGAAATACCAATCCGTAGTCGAGAGTTCCACTGAGATACCTTATCACTCGTTTAACTGCCACTAAATGATGCTCACAAGGTTCATGCATAAATTGGGCTAGTTTATTCATACAATATACTATATCTAGTCTCATATGACATGAATACAACAAGGAACTAACCAGACTATGGTATTCCTTTGCATTTGCTAATGGACTGCGTGCATTAGCTATAGTGAGCTTAATATGTTCAACCATAGGAGTTAGAGTTGCTATAGCTTTACTCATCCCTTACTTGATCACAAGCTCCATTATATACTTATTTTGGCTAAGGAAAACAACATCATCAATACAATTTACTTCAATACCAAGGAAAAAAATTGAGTATACCCAGATTTTTGAGCGAAAGCTTTTCTCCCAACAATCTCCCAATGTCCTCAATGTCCTCATTTCCACCTTCTGTAACAATAATATCATCAACATATGCTATGACATATGTACTGTCATAATTACCATGCTTGATGAACAAAGAACTGTCTGCACGAGAGCTTCGAAATCCCAAACTCACCTGAAAGTCTCTTAATTTGGAGTACCAATTCCTTAGCGCTTGCCTTAGTCCATACAAGGCTTTTTGTAGCTTGTAAACTAAAATTGTTCTATCTGCAACCTGTTTTTCAAAACCTTGAGGTTGTTCCATGAAAACCTCTTCATGTAACTCTCCATTCATAAATGCATTATTAATATATATTTGCCTTAGATTCCAATAATTACGAGCAACAATTGTCAACACTACATTCACTGTAGACATTTTTACAATAGGACTAAAGGTTTCTTGAAAATCCTGATCAGGTACTTATGAAGACCCTTTGGCTACAAGTCTAGCCTTATACTTTTGAACAGAGCCATCTGCATTGCGCTTGAATCGAAACAACCACTTGTATCCTACGGCAGACCTTCATTCTGGAAGAGGAACAAGTGAACAAGTGTTGTTCTTGATAAGAGCTTCATATTCAGTAAGAACAGCAACCTTCCATAACTGATTCTTGATGGTTTCATGAACACTTGGAGGTTCAACCTCATTTATAAACTCATCTTCATTGTCACTGTTCTCATGCATGAATTCATTTTCACCTCCATTGAGAGTAGAAAAATATAACATGGGTTTAAACACTCCATTCTTGCTACGTGTTACCATGTGATGACCTGTCACTAGTAATGAGAAATTATTCTAAACATCAGTCCCTTGACTACTACTGCTTGTCTCTTCATCATCTCGAGTATGTAAAGTAGCACCTGCCGCCCTTGAATTTTCAGCACTTTGCTGCACAACCGTATTTCCATCTTGCTGCTCAACATCATTCTCCACATTATTGCCTGACATCATAGGCATAGGTGCAACAACATCTGACTCATGAACAGATTCTCCAACTAGATTCACATTGTTGAATGAGTTTGAACCTGATTCATTCACACTCAACACAGTGTCATTACCATGTGGCATATCAGCTCCTATGCAAACACGCTGAGCACCATCCACTACAGGAATCTTTATACCACTTCTACGCAAGGTACACTTACACCCAGTCTTGCTATTCAACACTGCAAATGGAAAAAACTTTCATCAAAAACTACATGGCGTGAAATATACACACGACCATCTGAATCCATGCACTGATAACCTTTATGCTGAGTGCTATACCCTAAGAACACACACTGAGAAGACCGATAGCTTAGTTTGTGTGCATTATATGACCGTAGATGAGGACAACAATGACACCCAAAAATTTTAAAGTAACTATATTATGGTTTCTTAGAATACAACACCTCATATAGTTACATACCTTATAGAACACGTGTAGGTAATCGATTGATAAGATGTACAACAGTACACACTGAATAGGACCAAAACTTGAATAGAAGAGAGGCTTGAGCCATTAGAACTAAAGGTAGTTCAATAATGTGTCTGTGTTTGCGCTCAACCACACCGTTCTGCTCAGATGTGTGTGGACAAGCCAAACGATGCGCTACACCCAACTATTTGAGCCAAGTTCAGACTGATCGATATTCACTTCCCCAATCGCTTTGAACTTCTCTTACTGTAGCATTAAACTGAGTTTGTACCAGACTAAAAAATAACTGAAAAGTTGACAACAATTGATCTTTAGTTTTGAGAAAATAAACCCAGCTAGGCCTCGTACATGCATCAACAAATGAGACATAGTACATGTATCCGTTGGAGGCTTTATGCGATGGACCCCATACATTACTGAAAACCAGATGAAATAGTGTGGCATACACATATGTGGAATTACTAAATGGAATTTTATGGCTCTTACCCAATCGACATGCAACACAAAATGAATTATCAATTCTATTATTTTGAGTGGGAAACATTACAACTTGTTTACAAGCCTGCAAAAGAATAGAATGAGCAAGATGCCCAAGCCTCTTGTGCCATATATTATAAATTCTATTTGTACTACTAGAGTCTTCTACCATCGTGACATGACAAGCTTTCAAGCAAGTTGCATATGTGGTAAACTGATAGATTCCAGTACACTCTTGTCCCTTCAGCAGCACTTATTTAGTTACTTCATCCTTAACCAAGCAAGACCCAACAAGAAACTCAAAGTAAACCTTGTTCTCTCTAGCAAAATTTGACACAAAGAAGATTTTTTATTACTGATGGCACATGCAATAAATTATTAAGAATCGACATACAAGAGTTAGTAGCCATAACGGAAGTACCAGCTCGAGCTATACTCAGGCTATGCCCATTACCAGCAACCACCTTACCTGGTCCAATATAATGTGAACTAGTAGCAAGTTTCGAGACATCAGGAGTAATGTGATGAGTGGCTCCCGAGTCCACAATCCAACGACCTAAATTTGTAGATGCAATATGTGCTTGAGTATGTACACTACTACTGCATGACTTACATTCATCTAGCACAATATGATGTGCCTCAGTGTCCTCATTCTTATAAGCCAACACATCTGGAAATGTTTAATCGAAACGATGCCATCAACGATCAACTGAGTGCCCATTCTTTTCACACAACTAACATTGTAACCGAGGACGACCACGACCATGACCTGCAAACTTGCCATCCCTACTATAACTGCCAGCTCCATTGCCATTATACAACTGAGTTATAGGCATGCCATTCTCACAATTGTTACCTCGTACACTGGCTACATTTGCACTCATAGGAAGAGACTGCTGAAGTTGAAACCCATTCAACTGAGATTCAGCATCCATCAAGACTATTTTTACATTATCAATCGAAAACATGTCTTTGCTGGCTGTGATCACCTAACAATTGAAATCATCCTAATATAAACCAAATTCCTCATGATGCAAAATATGTGAAAATGTAAATAAAATGATCCTAAAAATGCTTCTAAAAGTACTTAAATTCAAACTAAACCTAGGTATAAATGTTTCATATGATAACTCTTTTGGAGAGTTATCAAGGACCAAATACGCAATTTTAATTTCCAAAGCTTGATTGTTTGTTAATTGAATGTGATTAAACATGAATTTAATGTGATTTGGCATGTTCTTGATGTATCAAGTATGTTCATGAATAATCCTTGACTTTAGAAACCATTAGAAACTGAAATGGTAGCTCAACTATGTATGATTTATCTCAATTTTGTAATTTCTAAAAAAAGGGATCGATCCCTTTGGTTACTAGAATGAAAAGGACCGATCACTTTGCATGAAATACTGATCCATCAGGTAAAAGGATCGATCCTTCGAGTTTGGTTTCTTGAAAACTGATAATTTGAATATTTACATGTATTTTATATTTAAATTCTTATGTTTTAGCATTTTAATATATCACAAAGTTTTGTTTTTGACAAGTATTTGGATGACTAAAGGATAGCTCCTTATAAAGTAGAGTTTTACCTGAATTTGAATATTTTGGTGTTTTGACAAGTCTTAACAAAAATTCAAGAAAGAAGAATCGTACTCAAACTATATTTTTTATTTTTATTAGGATTATACTTTGATTTGTATTTTAATGTAAACTCGTTTCTATTGAAGTAAATGATTCTATTATAAAAAATACATGTTCTTTTCTTTTTATCCATATCAATAAGTTGCTAAACTCGTTTTATTCTAGCTATGGTTTTCAACGTTATTAATACAAGTTCTTAGTGAGATATTTCGTTCTTAATCTTCTTCATCTATTTCAAGTACATTTATATCTTCTTAACCTACTCAGTAAGTATATATTGATTTGTAAGCTTTTTATGCTCGTCTTTAGCTAATTCATCTTTATATACAACAACCAATCAAGCAATTA